ATTATCAGTTAACACCAGAGGTGTCGAAATCGTATTCTAAAATATGCAATTCTTTGTAAAAACAACTTTCTTTCGACGCATTAACCGATACTTTTATTTAGTCCTCGTATATATGGGGTGCAATATTATGCATGTTTTATTTTCCTTTTTTAGCCCACCTGAGCCGAAAGCTCAAGTGAGCTTTTCTGATCAAAATTTGTCCGTTGTCTGTCGTCGTTGTTGTCGTCGTTAACTTTTTACATTTTCATCTTTTTCTTAAGAACCACATGGTCAATTTCAACCAAACTTGCCACAAAGTATCCTCGGGTGATGGGGATTCAAGTTTGTTCAAATGAAGGACCAAGCCTATCTGCAATAATGTAGCCCTCTCCGATTTTTTTTTATCTGATGTTTTCTCTCCCAAAAAAGGAGAGAGCTACATTATTGCAGCTAGACCAAGCCCTCTTCCAAGAGGAGATAATTATGAATAAATGAAAGCAGAAGTCTCTGTCGAGACTGAAGCTCTACTGGTTTGAACTTATAGCAAAGGAAAAGAAAGTACTTAAGCAGCTGGGATTTGAAACTTTATAAACAGCATTAAATAGAATAATGATCGTTGATAAAGTCTCTTTTTGTTCTTAGTGTAGTCTACTTGTGTGCCAAGTTATACTGAAATCAGACCAAAACTGTAGGAGGAGTAGCATTTTGAAACAATTTTACAGACATTTCTATTTTTAGTAACCACGGCAACACAGTTCATCAAAATTAAAATTCGATATACAGAATTATGTATCTTATTGTATTCTACTTGTGTGCCAGGTTATATTGAAATCAGACCAAAACTGTAGGAGGAGTAGCATTTTGAAACAATTTTACAGAAATTTCTATTTTAAGTAACCACGACAACACCATTCATCGAAATCAAAAACCGATATACAGAATTATGTATCTTAGTGTATTCTACTTGTTTGCCAACTTATACTGAAATCAGACCAAAACTGTAGGAGGAGTAGCATTTTGAAACAATTTTACAGAAATTTCTATTTTTAGTTACCACGGCAACACCGTTCATCGAAATCAAAAACCAATACACAGAATTATGTTACTTAGTGTATTCTACTTGTGTGCCAAGTTATACTGATATCAGACCAAAACTGTAGGAGGAGTAGCATTTTGAAAGAATTTCACAGAAATTTCTATTTTTAGTAACCACGGCAACACCGTTCATTGAAATCAAAAACCGATATACAGAATTATGTATCTTAGCGTAGTCTACTTGTTTGCCAAGTTATACTGAAATCAGACCAAAACTGCAGGAGGAGTAGCATTTTGAAAGAATTTCACAGAAATTTCTATTTTTAGTAACCACGGCAACACCGTTCATCGAAATCAAAAACCGATTTACAGAATTATGTATCTTAGTGTAGTCTACTTGTGTGCCAAGTTATACTGAAATCAGACCAAAACTGTAGGAGGAGTAGCATTTTGAAAGAATTTCACAGAAATTTCTATTTTTAGTAACCACGGCAACACCGTTCATAGAAATCAAAAACCGATACACAGAATTATGTATCTTAGTGTAGTCTACTTGTGTGCCAAGTTATACTGAAATCAGACCAAAACTGTAGGAGGAGTAGCATTTTGAAAGAATTTCACAGAAATTTCTATTTTTAGTAACCACGGCAACACCGTTCATCGATATCAAAAACCGATAAACTGAATTATGTATCTTAGTGTAGTCTACTTGTGTGCCAAGTTATACTGAAATCAGACCAAAACTGTAGGAGGAGTAGCATTTTGAAAGAATTTCACAGAAATTTCTATTTTTAGTAACCATGGCAACACCGTTCATCGAAATCAAAAACCGATACACAGAATTATGTATCTTAGTGTAGTCTACTTGTGTGCCAAGTTATATTGAAATTAGACCAAAACTGTAGCAGGAGTAGCATTTTGAAAAATTGTTTACAGACAGACGGACGGCTAGACAGACGGACGGACGCCGGACGCATTACTATCGCATAAGCTCTTCTGGTCTCTGACCAGTAGAGCTAAAAATTAATAGTATCTTTTAAAAATCTTCTTCTACAGAACCAATGGACCAGGGGAGATGAAACTCATGTGAAAGCATCCTCAGGTAGTGTAGATTCAAGTTTAATTCAAATCATGACCCCCGGGGGTAGGGTGGGGCCAAAAAAGGCCAATCAAAGTTTTACATAGGAATATATAAAAAAAATCTTTAAAAATCTTCTTCTCAAGAACCATTGGGCCAGGAAAAACGAAACACACGTGGAAGCATCCTCAGGTAATAGAGGTTTTAAAAATTTGTTTAAATCATGACCCCCGGGGGTATGGCGGGCCACAATGGCGGATCAATTTTTACATAGGAATACGTAGGAAAAATCATTTATAAATCTTCTTCTCAAGATCAGCAAAGCCATGATTGATGATATTTTAAAATATGGAAACATCCTCAATCAGAGTTTATTCAAGTTTGTTCAAGTCTTTACCCCTGGGGGCAGGGTGGAGCCATAATGGGCAGTCAGAGCTTTACACAGAGATATATAGGAAAAATCTTCTTCTAAAGAACAGCAAAGCCATGGCATGATTGGTGATATTTATATGGAAGCATCCTCTGGTAGTGTAGTTTCAAGATTGTTCAAATAAGAAATCTTGTGGGTAGGATGGGGACACAATGTGGGATCAATTTTTACATCGGAATATATAATACTAAAATATCTTTAAAGTTTTTCTGGAGAACACCAAATCGATGATTAGTAACTTTTTATATGAAACTAATGGTAGTATTCTCAGGTGGTTTAGATTCAATTTGTTCAAATTATGACCCCGGGGTTAGGGTGTGGCCATCATGAGGGATCAAAGTTTTGCATAAGAATATATAGGAAAAAAATCTCCACAGAACAGAAAAGTTTTGTTTACTCCAATTGACATGTAAGCATCTGCAGTAGTGAAGATTTAAATTTATTCAAATAATGTCCGGGGGTGTTAGCAAGGGGTCACACTGGGAGATCAAGTAATATTTTGGAAAATATCTAAAAATCTTATTTTCAAGTATGGCAAAATTATACATGTATGTTTCATTCAGATATATGTGACATTCTCAAGTAACAGAAAATCCCCCCCCATAACAAATAAACTTTTCAATACTTAGCTGATTTGTGTTTTTAACTAGCCCATTTGCATATCTGGGTGGTGATGCCCATGGGCCTCTTGTTATTTTTGTGCAAATTGTATTAGCCCTGTGAAAATGGGGAAAAAATGCCAATCGGAGGTTATTGACATCATGGTCCAAATTAATGATTAAATGTTGAGGGTATATTTTTTTTATTAAAGGGAAAATAAGTAACGTCAGCTGTCTGTGCTTAGCATCTACGTGTTTTTTTTTTCTTTTTTCTAATTTTAGTCTTTAAGTAAGGCTACATTTTGAGGGGAAAAATAATAGAAAATAGGAACTGTAAAAGACACTTTCAAGAACACCATTTTTTTTTTTACAATTAAAACATCAAAAACGGTTATAAACATTTTAAGAACATTCAAAAACAGTTTCATGTCAATACCCCGAGCCATTCCGTTTATAAAACCAGGATATACTATTTTTTTTAAACACACACACATAAAAAAATTGCGATCACAAGTTCTACAGTGCCATCGTGCCGATAAAAAAAATCTTTGGAATGGAAAAAGTCCAAACTCAGTGACAAATCCAAGAGATGCACTACAGTGCACTAGCTGTAGACCTGTCCCTCCTCGTCATATCTTTACAAACATTGAAATCAAATATTATCTATGAGATATCTTCTTTCAGAATTAAGGAGTTCCTTCCCGAATATACCGGGTTATTACAACAGGGCTTTTAAATTACAAGCAGCTAAGATATTTCCTTCAATTCCACAAAACAATATGTACTGAATCATGATCATTGGCAAGGAATCAAACTAAATCGTGCGGAATATTCCTTTTCTGGACATAATTAAGTAAGGAAGATAGGATTGGAGTCATGACAGATTTATATTATGTGACCAGGATGTTTAAATACACGGACTGGTGTTCATACTCAACAACCTAGGAAGTAAAGAACACTTAGAGGATTGTTTTCTTCCATCTATTAGTTGAATAAATACTTGCAACTTAAAACAAAAACACACCGGAACAGAAAAATTTTGAAATATGGATTTTGGTTGTTTTTAAAGTGCCAATTTCTCCTAAATCTACGCATGCGGTTGACGTTAAACGTAGAATTAACTTTATAAAGCCTAATATATACATACAAACATAAAATAAAGTCCCTATGGCTCTCTTTTCATAGGAAATAGAAGATGATTAAAAATATCAGATAATAACTATTCTAAGTAAACACCTACCTATGATACATTCATGCCGCTCTAGATTTAGGAGATAGATTGGTTCTTTCTGACAACAATGTCATAAACAGATGTGATAATTAAATTGTCATGTTTGTTCATATTTTGATTTCCTTTCATCACCGTATTCATTATGTAATCAGTAAAAAAATAACATGCAATTTAAATTTTATCAGATTTATGCTGTTGTGGGTTATTTGATACAAAAATCATTATATTCGAAAGAGGAAGATTTAATGGATTCACTTGAATGAGTTTTTTTTTATGTACGATTTATTGTCAATTAACAATAGTTATTTTCATTGATATTTTGATTAGATATACCCCAGTGAGCTTAAAAACAAGACACCACAGAGTCTGGTAAACAAAGATATCAGACGAGGGGGCTTGTCCCCCAAGTCTGATGTCTGAAGATGCACTCGTTTTTAAGGTACTATATGTTTTGTATCGTTGTTCCCAGGAACTGAGTTACCAGTGCTCTATCACTTTTGCGTTAATAGCACGTAGTTCGACTGTATTCTCACGCACTGAGTTAGCCATGATCTATCAAATCTTCATCATACAATTTTTCTGACCAATGGAAAAGGAGCACGTGATTCGAAAAGTATAGCGCGCTGCATTTCTTAAACTTTGGATTACCTCGCCATTCAAGTCTGAACGCCATGGATGACGATTATTATTATATGCTATTGCAATTCTAGATGCAAACTGAAATTATGACGGAAAATTCTTAATGTCACTTAATCTTTACACTCGTTAAAATACTAAATGGGCAATTTAAACGTTCAAGGAATACCGCACGGGAAAACATTTCTAACCGAGATGTACGACGATTCTTCAAATTACTAGATGTATCGATTTGTGTTGGAATTTATAAAACAAGACGGCTCGGAATATTTACCTCATTTCCGTGCATGTCATTGTGTGTGTGCTTTGTGGCAACGCACTTTGAAAAAATTACGCACTTTGAAAAAAATTTTAAAGTGTAAAATTGGGACAAAATCAACGCACTTTGAAAAAAAATTTCAACCAATTTTTTACCACTGTGACATTTAACGCACTTTGAAAAAAATATGTATAAAACAAAAATTCAAGACTTAGATTTTAGTAATTGATTTGAAATCAATTTGTAATAATTGTTTCTTTCGAAAAAAAACTTTTTGATTTACACGTATTGATTTACCCTCATTGAGAAAAAGGAGAAAACGAGTAGAAGGTCTCTCAGTCCAATTTTTTATATAGCTGTCGGTAGCAAAATTTAAAAGTGGACCCCTCCAGGTATGCTCCAATTTTCAATGCCTATATTATGTATATCTTTGCAAAACATGTGTGTGCCTAAGCCCTCCCTGTACCAATGCCTACATGTATGCTATACCCAAATATATGTACATGTATTTGCATAACTGGTAAGACGTTTAAATTTTCAATAATTTTAGATTACATAAAATGCATGCAAACTTGAAAAATTGAAGTACATTAAAACATTTAAGAGAGAAAATTTTATCAAAGAATGGAAAAATCAAAAACGCCCACTTTCATATCCTGAAGTTAACTTATCATCGAAAAGTTGTCCAACAGGTTTCAATTTGCCATACCTAAGATGTGCAAGAATATTGACCAAGCCATACGCATATTTTGTCGAAGTGCGTTAATATGGTCGATATTAACGCACTTTGAAAAGAAATTTTATTTTTTCAAAGTGCGTTGATTTGGTCCCAAATTTAACGCACTTTGAAAAAAATTTTCAAAGTGCGTTGTAACAGTGCTTTGTTACGCTTCAAGTTTATGAGAATCAAAAGCATTAATTTCTAAGCCCGCTGTGTAAATTTCAAAAAATCGACGTTCAAATTAAATTCATTTTTATTTTAGGGAAGGTATTCCTTCACTATGTTTACATGAATTTGTGACATGATCAGGCGAGTTTTCTTTTGAAGTCAAGCGTACTGTAACTGCGATATTTTAAAGATAATTTTTAAGAATAAAATTTTACAACGTAAAGTTATGAGTTTTGGATTCAAAATTGTTAGAAAAGAGGGAGTAGGGCAGTGCACAAATGATTACTTTGACCCCCCTTAAAAAATGGAAAATCGTATTTTGTTGGGGGTAGATTTATAATCAATCAAGACACTATGTGCGTGATATCGTTACTTGTTGATTAATTAAAAACCGTATGTATTCAAGTTTGGCAAAAATAATTTACGAAAGTGAAAAAGAAAATGCTCAAAGGAGGGTGGGATGGGGGCACCGGTGAGTGCTGGATCCCCACTTGGTTACTCCACAGTTTATTAAAAACATGAAGATAAAATCCACTGTTTCTTATCATCTGTTTATTTCAAATTTGTATATGACGCCCGTTGGAGGACATTGTCGTACGTTTCTCTCAGAATACGATCTCCCCAAAGCATTTTCTTTCAAAAATATTAATCCTACATTATACTTATCTATCAAAATGTTTTTTGCAATAAATCGTAGCTTAAATTCTAAAAAAAAAATGTCAGCAAAGGCTGGATAGAAAAAAACCCTACTCAATTAAATCTGAATTAATTTTTTGAAAAAAAAATTATACAATGCATCTCATAATTCTAAATATTGTAAAATGATAGATACCTGCACGTCCACCTCACTCGGCATTTCAGTTACGAGTGCTTAAAATGCATGGGATACTAAATCAACTTTCTGCATAATCATCTGATTGGTTGAGAGATACGCATACAAATCAGTGAGGTCATTATAGAAAGGTCATGTCTCAAGTCATTTAGAATACTCGTTTCCTACTGTACTCGTTTCCTACTGTACCGGATATACAGGCCGGGGCCCGGCTCGAGCTATCGCTCTCGCCTCAAACCCCGCCCTGTATCTCCGATACAGTAGGAAAATCGAACTCTATATATAACTTGTATTTACTTTTCCCCTCGGTGTAAGGTCATGGGTCATTTATTAGAATTGTTTCAACATCACCCTGGCATGCGCTATCTTGATAGATCACGGTTGTTAAATCAGTTAGCCATGATGTATCAAAAAAAAAAAAAAAAAAAGCAAAGCGATCTTCAAAGGAAAAACACCGCAACAATGATACAAGCTTCTTCCGTCTTGTACAATAAAATTTAACTCCAATTGCTAAGCTCAAAAGCACTAAAACAAAAAGTCCCGAGCAAATACCTGAAACAAACCATTTAAGGAAATAATTGTACATATTATTTTTTTTTATATTAGGGAAGGTATTCCTTCACTATGTTTTCATGACTTTGTATTAACTTTACCCCTAATTATTCGGCGTAAGGTCACGGGTCATTTATTAGAAAAGTTTCATCTGACATCACCCTGGCGTGCTCTATCTTGGTAGATCACGGTTGTTAGATTACAGTTAGCCATGATGTATCAAAAATAAAAATACAGCAATCTTCAAAGGGAAAACACAATGATACAATTATATAAGAATTTTTCTTAAATCTCTCTCTTTGATCGAATGAAACATGTGTAGTTGGTTTTGTTGCTACACTTTTCTCTCAGGTTATAACTTAACTGAACTTGTATCCACGCAACATAAATTTTGCTCCATGTCAATATAATTACTGTACGAGATTGTCCCAAAAAGTCGTAGACAATGTAGATTCCTAAATATACGTATGGCACGCCAAATTCACAAAAATGAGCAAATCATAGTTTCACAATCGATAAACTAGGTCTATCGGTTGTAAACTATAGTTTACGGACTGTAAACTATAGTTAACAACGTTAATCTATATTTTACATCTGTAAACTATAGTTAACGCGATAATCTATGTTTCACAGCCGTAAACTATACTTAACACCGAAAACTATCATTTGCGATTGCAAAACATAGATTATCTGATAAATACAGTTTCACGATTTGTAAACTATGGTTTACAACTCTAAACAATAGTTAACGATCTGATAAATATAGTTTCACGATTTGTGAAACTATGATTAACAACTCTTAATTATAGTTTATGATTGTAAACTATAGTTTACAAACGTGAAAACACTATGTTTATCAACAAAATCTATTGTTAACGCTTTATTCAGACAGATCTCTAGATTAGCATTCGTAAACTATAGTTAACGACCGTTAAATATGTTTTACACTTTTCTCTTAACGAAGGTTATAACTTAACGAATCGTTAACTATCTTAACGAATCGTTAACTATAGTTTACGGTTTGTAAATATAGTTTACAGTCGATAAACCTTGTTTATCAATTGTGAAACTAGGTTTATCTCATTTTTGTGAATTTGGCGTGCCATATATACGCAAGGAATTAATTATCGCGTAATTTCGCGAGAAGCACCATTCGCGAAATAAAATTCTCGCTTTTTAAGGATGCTGAAATCATTGTTAAATGTGTAACATTAAAACTTAAGACTTTATCAAGTAAAACTTATCTATCTTGATCAACCACCCCCTTGCGAATAATTGATTTCGCGATTTGACGTTAAAGAGCTATTTCGACAATAAGTACTCGCCAAAAATAAGGAATCTACAGTATAACACATCAATATTCTGGATGGATATTCAAAAATTACCGTCCACAAGTTTATCTAGTCTTAAAAAATAATCTGAAACCATAATCTTAATGCAATCTACAATCTGGCGGTTGCATTATCCAGTTATATCAATTATTTTATATTTCTAGTTCTAAGCACTCACCAATGATACAATTGTCGGAACACTGCCCATCTTCTGGAGAGAAAAAAAACATATTTTAGGAATATAAATACCTTCAAATAAATACCTTCTAGATATTGAGACATGTGTAATTATACGGACCCTCACTACGAAGCTCAATTGCTACACAAACTGCGGATGATGGGTCTTCCGTCCACGTATTATTTTCCCCACAATAAAATGCTGCGCTTGCGCTCTGTTTCAGAGAACATTTGGGAATGTTTAAATTTCCCGGCAAACAGTAACTGTAACTTCCGACCTCGCTTCCATTTTCCAGCCATGTCAATCCACCTTCTGAAGGG